CATTAAAGTTTTTCTTTATTACCCATTTAAGCCATCTCCAGCCATTATTAATCTCAAAGTGGGTTCCTCGTCACCGAAATTGCAGTCAATCCTTCACTTGTAATCACCTTTATGTAACAACCACTTGCTTTACAGTTCCAATCAAATTCTGGTGTCTAAAACCTTTTATACATTGATTACTTATCCAAAGCAACTAGCCAGCACTAATATTTACCCAAATTAGTAACAACTATAAATCAAAGGCTTTATCACCCAATACACAGATGTATATATTGTAAGTTTCAATTTCAGTCATTTATATATAGGTTAGAAAAAAAAAATTTGAAAACCATAAATTATTATTTCACTACATTGCATCATTATCTATATTTTTAAAGTTTACATCAGTCGTTTTTACGTAAAACATAGTCATTACAGAGTATCTTTCTTAGTTAATGTAAAAAAAGATAGTCATTTACTTAATTGTGGTGAGAACTTCTTATCAACACCATTTTTTCAAACAGTCAATATAGCACATCTGCAGAGATGATTTTTACATACTTGCTTAATTATAATGTAAGCAGCACTTACATTACAGTATAGTGCTGTTCTTATTAGCCCCAAATTTTTCTCTAGTTGGTAGCCGACAAAACAGGAAAGTGGTGTCCAACTGCGGCTTTTGTGAGGACTTCTGTAACATTTTTCAACAAGTTTTTATTTGCTTTATGAGAATTTAAAGTGTAATTGTAAAAATATTTTTTTCCCTGTAAACCAGAGCTTGCCAAGATATTTTCACTTTAATTTTACAATTGAATCTCTAAGAAAACAATATCAAAACTCTGCTTATTGTAATTGAAATGTATGGTGTTCTGTTTGCGAAAAAATCTTGTATGCTGCAGAGTAAAAGAAGTTTGTGTTTGTATTCCTTCAGTAATTGTCTCATATGAGTTGCTTTTTCATAGCTGATGACCTAATGATACAAAAAAACCATGCATTTTCTCTCTTCCCCTCTACAAAGGTGTGGATGTGTTCTTTTCAGTAGAGACAGCACACAGACACCAAAATACTGTTTAATTCATCTTCTAGCAATCCCCGAACTCTAAAAAGATTCTTGCTGTGCCTCACTTGGCACTGTGTTACTAACCCACTACTGTTATGGGGGAGAGTTTTTATGTGTCCTGTTTAAATTACACAAGTTTTGTTTGGAAGAAGGTTAGTTGAAACTCCTTAAAAATACACATACCCTTTTCTTCATCATATTGTTAAGATGTTTGGCTGGAACACCTTAAAAAAATTGGTACACCACCCTTTAAGTACGTTAGGTTTCCACCCATCCTTAGTTTAACACCCTGTAGCTGTGAACAGGTAGAATATTAGTATTTTCCAGAGAGGTAATTAGTGTTTCTCACTAAATGTAATAAAACTTAAATAGCAAACCTTAATTTATAACTAAAAAACATTGAGGTGTATTTTAAAGAGATGTACTTTTGCCTTTTTTATGTGTGTGTATGTATGGCAAGCCAAAATAGTGAAAGTGTAGTATTAGTGAATTTTTAAAAACAAAGTTTCTGTAACTTCACAGTTCCTGAGAAAGATAAAGAGAGTATATTTTGCGACTCCTAAAAAGGCTCTCGTCATTGTACACACTTTTTATGTGTTTTGTTGCTGATAGTACATTATATTAGTTCTTCTTGTTTATCAGCTTCTTTTTACATGGTATAACTCTTTCGTAATACTAGAAAATCACAAACAATAGAAAATGAATTGCCATTAAAAAAATTGGAATATTTATGTAAATAAATGAAATTTAAATGCTGTAGTTATAAAAATAGAATTACATAAAACATAAATGTTGATCTTAAAATGTTCTTTGAATCTGTGGAGCTTCATTAGTGTAGTGAAATATATAGTTTTTTCAATGTGTTTTGTAAATATGATTTAGTTTTTAATTGTTATTAAATTTGTTATAATTATTAGGAAAGTAATTGATAAGAGTATGGTTCTTTTGGTATTTTATGTTTTTTCTTGCTAATTCTGCATACTAAATTACTTAATAATTAAGAAGTTCTAACATTTTTTAAGTAGTTTTGTAGAACACAATAGTCTTTTGAAATGAATTTATAAGTCAAAAGTCAGTTCAACTTATCTGATGAGTTAATATGATAATAGTGGTTTCTTTTTAAATGTTTGTGTTGTAGGTCAGCTTTTGTAGCAGTTATTAACACGAATTCTGTGTTGTTTTGGATTAGGTATTTTGTGGACTCTTTGGTCACCTTTTGGAGGCAGGCAGAGAAACCATTCAACCAGTGGGACTAATATGGAAGAAGTGAAGTTGGATGGTTTAAGAGAGATTGGACATTTGTTGTGGATTAATGATTTTATTCTGACGTATATGTGTAATGATAAGCATTCAGTATTACAATGTGCAACTCCAGGTTGATATTGCATCCATCATAGATGAAGACTTCTTTTATTTATCATTCTTTCTACAGTTGTGTCAGTTTATTTAAAGGAAAATATATCTTTGATCTGAATGGAAAGGTTGCTTTCTTCTGTACTTTGAACTTACACTATATTAGTGAGTGTGTTAATTTATCATTGAACAAAAGACAATGGCTGGTTACGGGTATCAAGACTTTTTGAACAGTCTTAAAAAACTTCCGGATGAAAGAACGCAAGAGGTAACCTATGTCTTTTACATTAGTTAAAACAGTTCTTATTCTGGCATCAGAATAATGTATCATACTCTAACATTTTAATGTATCTTGTAAGCAAAGAAAATATTTTGGTAATATACAGCATAAGATCCTTACAAAATCCCCCAGGTTGTGGCAGTCATGAAAAGATTAACATTAATTTACTTTTAATTATTTAATTTCCTGTTAGTAAGGGTATTTGAAATCTAAAAATTGGATTGTATATTAATATTTTCAATTTTAAACTATAGTGATATTTACAATAAAAGTGTAAAATATGAACTTTGAACTTTTTTTTCTTGTAATAACTTATTTGCACAGTAGCTTATTTATTCTTTCTTTATGAAGCTATTTGTTTGATGAGAAACAAATACAAAATTAAATGTTGGAAAATATAGGAAATACAAAGCTCAGCAGTAAATTGAATCTAAGTCAATTCAAAGTTAGTAGGTGGTTTCCTATTTTTTGTCTCTCTAACTGAAGTAAAACATTTAACAGTGAAATGTAATTGTATTAAAAACTTAAGTTTTTTTAATCTTTATTGCATATACAACCCTTTTTTATTTTCAGGACCTGAAAATACTTTATACTCATCTTCATGGAATGGGGGCATTGTCTTCTCTTCGAGAAGCATCTCTTAGAAGTTTATGTAAAACTGTGAGATATGAAAAACATGATGCCAATGACATCCTTTATTGGTAAGTATACCACCACTTCCTTGAAAATTGTATCTTGAGAAAATTATAATTTCTACTGTGAATAATTCTTAATGTCTGTGGAGAAGCAAAGATTTGTTATAAGACTTTTAGGGTTTTAGAGTGGATTCAGACACTGTCTCTTCTCCCACTCACACATTATAAAAACAAAATTAGTTTCTTGAAAAAAGTAGTATAGTAAGTTTCTAATATTTAAATGTATCATCTTTTGTCACTTTGGATACAATTTCTGTATGCATACTCAATCATGAAACTTAGAAATCATGTAGGATAAAAAAATTAGATAGGTTAGACTGGTAGCAGTTTACCAAAATAATGGCTTAAAATTTGATTCTCAATGAGGTTGACTTACCTCTGAAATACTAAAAGCTTTTCTGTGTTGAGTTTGCTCTCATTCTGTCAACAATCATGTGACTGTATGCAGTGAATGACCTCCTTGAAACAGTATAGATCATACATCAACTTACCCAGAGTTCTTCACTCTCCCACCTTCTGTGCAATTTATTGTGCATTCATCAGTTGAATGTACAAAATCCAGATTTTCTTTTTTTTTGTTATTGATAGTTGCAATATTAACTTTGCTCACTATGAATTCTGAAATCAGTGTTTTCTGTTGCACATGTTTCTTCCAATATTGGAAATTCTACAACTTCTTTGGAAACCTTACTCTCAGTCTATTTCTAGTGTGTGGGGAGAGCTTGTGGTTGCATTCTAGGCCCTTGTTGGTCAACATATTTGGGTTCTTAATTCTGAATTGTCTGTTTATGTCTGTGACAGGTTTCAGATTTGTGTGGATGCTCAGTTATAGAATACCCATAATTTTATCATAATCATAAAAAAAAACTATCTTTTGCTCAGGGCTATTCACCTTCATTTTCTGAAGCGCAGGATTTATCAGTTAGCTCTAATTCCAAATCATACTCTTTCTCTCTCTTTTCTTTCAGATATGTTCTATTTCAAATCTTGAACCAATTTCTATTATGCCTGTAGGTGCTTATATTATGTTAGATGATTCAGTTTTGGAATCTTTGCATTGTCCATAATTATGATTTGCTTTTATTTTTTTCTTCTCAAGGTCTTTACCCTCAGCTCAGGGGGTGGGGGTATCCAAGAGATCTCCTATTTTGACCATCAACAGCTTTATGCTGTGCCTGCTCTGAGTTGTGTCATTTTGAGACTTTCTTCTGCAATGTAATTATAAATTATCAGTTACTCTTGTTCCTTGTTTCCATAATCAGGATCAAATATTTAACTTGCAATCTTTGGCTACGGCTCTTGCTGATGTAGTTTCTATTTCTCTGTGGATTGTATGTTCTTTTCACTCCTTAGCCTATCCTGTTGTGTTAAAAGAACTCCCCACCCCTAACCCAAACCTTCAACATTTCAGTTGATCTTGATAGAACATCTTTCCAGCATTATTTTCTTTGTTGGTATACCAACCACACTAGTTTCCCTTTCAGGAAAAGAACCTTCTCTTCTCTGTGATTCAGTTGCTTATAAGTTCTGGATCAGGAAGTCTTGCATCTTCAGAAAGGTGTAGTCAGAGTTGTATATCAAACTATTCTGGTTTTTGTGGCTTCCCATCAGGAGAGTGGAGACCTGTCATAGATCTTTCTCAACTTGACCTTTTCTTGGAAATTCTTCATTTTAAAGTACAAAATATGAGGTTGTTACAAAAGTTTCTTTGTCATGGCCATTGGATGACAACTGTGGATATACAGGATGCTTATCTTTATTTACTTTTCATCAATCAACCCATCATATACCTAGGTATATTTGAAAAGTATAACAACCTTTCTGGTAATTATTGAAGTATCTGTAGTTGGGCAATCATTAAATGTAACATACTTCTGTGATTGTCCTAACCTATAAATTTCCACCCTCTGTACTTATGCTTCATAAGAGGGTGATACCCTCTGGAAGTGGACAGACAATACCATTTTAGTGGCTGATGACACCTCAGCAAGTAGTTTTCCGCCTGCATTAGCAAGTCCTTGTGTAGCATTTGAGAGAATGGAGATGAGAAAACCAGGATGGGGAACATTTTACAGTTTTATTTATGTAACCAATCAGCAGCAACCACTTTTATTTTATTATTTATTATTATGAATTAATGTGTACTACTTTTTTTATAATTGTCTATGTTTTCACTATCAGGTTTCCAAAGTAAATAAGATGTTTATATACTACTTCTACTACTGTTTTACACTTGGGAAGTTTGACATGGGTTCTCCTCCTTCCAATAATCTCCTTAATGTTCATCCAATTATAATTTTCAATTCAATTTGATATAAATAACACCTGTCCTTACCCATATTTTCACAGTCAGTTCACCCTCTTTCATTCAATCTATTGGTTGGCTAGTGTGGCCTCTGTTCTGTCTTTTTCTGATCTCTTGATTTATATGCTATTTCATTGACAACATTGTTTATAAATTTTACCATGTTGCTCAAGGGATGCTTCTTACTAGCAAGGTTGTCCACTTTCTTATTGAATGATACATCACTGTAGCCTGGAGCATATGTCATTATCAGATAAGCATTTAAGTTTCTTAAGTGTTTTACCCATGTTCTTTGGAGAAAACTTGTCTTCAAATTTTGTGATGAAATTTAGTAAGTGTGTCAGGAATATGATCCTGTTATTATCTTCACTGTTACTGGTCAGCATTAACTGGATATCCCAGTTTTTTTTTTCTAATGATCTTTCAAACACTAGGTGTCCATTTCTCAACATTGCTTCTAATTGATCCATCCAATTCTATGATCAGTGTAGATCTTTGCTCATAAGCCCATTCTATAACTGGTTGTGTTGACCAGTTCTGATCTTTTCCTCCATATCCTGCTGCCAATTTTCTTTTTGTTTAACTTTACACCATCTCCCTGGACCTACTCAACACTCTTGGTGTTATCCAGTAGACATATCTCCTATACATCTATCTTAGCCTCACTGGCCCATGACTTGAACAGTTTTGGTCTCTTTATTACAGCTTTGTCTGCACTCTCTTCAAGTGCAGTTATATTACTGGTTTCTGTTTTTTCTGAAAACCTTCTATTATAGATACAGTACAACACATTGTGCTCTAACTCTTCATACCTGTTATGCCACAGCTAAGAATGACCACATCTGAGAATGTGCATGGTTCCATTGGTGAATACATGCTCTCCTTTTCTTCTTTTTCACCAAGCAGGGTTTTTCATATAATTAAAGGCAAACGAACGAGTAGTATAAAGAATTGCAAAGGGTGTAAGATTTGGAATTGCCTTATTTGATAAGACACTCATATGCCTCCACCTGGAAAATGAGAAACATAATTCTTTCTTTATTCATTGAGTATATATACATGAATTTTTTTATTCAATTCACAATTTCAAACTGCTTTGCCCTCTGCCTGGAAAACTTTCTCTGGATGCCCATGAGCTCAGTTTAAAATTCCTATTAAATATTTTATAAAATTCACTATTTAATTTTTTGTAGAATTGTTGTTTCTAAAGAGCTACATTTAAACTTAAGACCAGTGAATCATAATTTTTAGAAGTAAAATAACACTTTTTAGGTTGAGTATTTTTTTCATTTCAAAAGCAATAATTTATTTTCACATTAAAAGTAGTAATTCCTTTTGTCTTTTATGAAAAATTTGTTGATTTCTTATGTTCCAAACTTTTTGTAAAAGTTATTAGTTAAGTTCTGTTTCATTTTTATCACAGAGTGGGAATTACTGCCATTATTTAAATGTCTTCTGTTAAAAACTTTGCATTATTGCTACATGCAGTCATATGCTAGATATAAGAGCCAAAAATGAAAATAAAAAAAATTGATGTCTTTGATATATATATATATATGCTTTCCATTGGAACACATGGTTTCGTTCCTCAGAATTACAACTTGCAGTGAAAGATGATAATGCTATCACTGATGAGCAATAACATTAAAAGCAAAGTAAGTAATTTCAAAGCAAAGAAATTCTTGTTGTTATTCCCTGCCCACCAGTGGCTCAGTGATAAGTCATTGGGCTTATAATACAAAAAACTGGGTTTCGATACCCATGGAGGGCACAGCACAGATGGCCCATTGTGTAGCTTTGTGATTAACAATAAACAGTTGCTCTTCTGCAACCCATGTTCTACTGGTTTTTACAATTATTTAAACAACCTTCTTTATGACAATATTTCTTTGTCAGATACGAAATTTCCCTGTTTTTGAGAGCAATTCTTCTTTTGAGGAAATGGCCCTTTTTCTGAGTTTTCTTCTCACTGGCTGTGGTATTTTTTTCTTCTTCTTCTTATGTCTTATCTGGTTTATTTCATTGAGAAACTCCTTTTCCTTTTACCTAACTTCCACTCTGTTTCTAATGTGTCTGATCTGAGAACTTTTCATAAGTCTAGTATGTAACTTCAATCTCTAGCATCATCTTTAAAAAATTTGATTTTGGGGTGATCTTAAAATATCCTTAGCACTTCACAGCTTTTCTTCAGGAATTGAGTGCTTTTTTTTTGTATGTCCATTTTATACATGAACTTATTGAATCTTAGCCAGCTTATCATGTTTCTGTTGAGACAGATGTTGTTTTTTTTTGTTTTTTTTTTGAGGTTAGTCCACCCATCTACTTTCATTCTTGGTTGCTCAGCTTGTTTTTTGTGTCTGATGACTTGACCTACTTATTTCTGGAATCTCTTTTAATAATTAAAGAATGAAACAATGGTTGCCCATTGTGTGCCCATCTTCTCTTCTTCTTTCATTTTTATTTTTGGTCAAGTTTTTGTCACTTTCCTCTCTCTGTTAATTACATTTTTGTTTTGTCTTCTACTTTTTTTTCCAACATATAGTACCTTCTCTAAATTCTCCATTTTTCATGTCATTTTTTGTTCTTTACTTCTTATTATTGTCTGTTTTGAATTAGGACATTGCTTTAATTATAAAGAGTCTGGCCTTGCAACCTTTTGTACTTGTTATAAAGCTGTAGTTTTCTTGTTTTAGGGGAAACA